GTCCGGAAGGAGTTCGGAGAGGTTGCTGGACGTGGCAGTAGAGGAGTTCTGGTGAAAACCAGCCAGATGTACAGAGCAGCCGCATCTATCCGAGTGCCAGGCAGCGAAAGTCATGCTGACCAGATCTGACCAGATCAGTCTGATGACACCAGAGGTCCAGTGATACTATATACAAATATACAAATGCGCATAAAGATTGCGTATCTGGTGAGTGCGCAATCTTTACATTACTTATCACCTTGCGGTTCCAATTATTGGACGTCTGAGGATCATCTCGGATCTTAAGAGCACCCCTTCATTGGACTCTTTTATTTATTTTGCACTTCTTTCACTTTATAGCCACCATCCAGTGGCTTTATTTTATTAGCACACAGTCACTGTATATTATATGAATTTGATTCTGGATTTTATTATTGTCTGTTAGTTTGTATAGCGCTGCACCTCCCGCTACATAGATGATGTCGTCCTATTATGGAATGGTGACGAACAATCGCTCAAAAATTTTTTTGGGACACTATATAATAATAGTATTAACATCAGCCTTTCTTATAACTATAGTGTTACGGAAATTAATTTCCTCGACCTCACCCTGATGAACCTTAAATGAAGAGTAGCTACTAAATCATATTTTAAACTGACCGACCGTAACAGTTAGATCCCGGTGGACAGCTGCCACCACCCGAGTTGGTTGGCTAATTCCTAAAGGCCAATTCCTTAGGATTAGGAGGAACTGTATGGACCTAGTGAGCTATCACTTACAGGCCTCAATACTCAAGCACAGATTCCTTGAAAAGGGTTACGACAATGAGGTTTTGGATAACACCCTCAAACTGGTGGCAGGAATGAATAGGGATGAACTATTGGATAATAGAATCAAACCAGTGAAAAATATGGTGTGCCCTTTCATTACCACTTTTTCCACTCAACATAGGGCCGTACGCCACATCATTAAAAAGAACTGGTCAATATTAAAAGCAGATCCAGTGCTATCAGGAATTTTACCAGATAGGCCTGCGGTCATTTTTCGTAAGACCACATCACTTAGGGATAGAATATCACCTAACCTTGTTAACCCCCCCACCAGATCCCCTATGCTCTTCAATCTTAAGGGTTTTTTCCCTTGTAATAAGTGCATCATATATAGATGTAATGACGAGAGGAAAAAGAAGGTCACCTCATACACGTCCCACCACTCAGGAATATCATATAACATAGATAGGTTTATTTGCTGTAATAGTCGGTATGTTGTTTATTTACTTGAGTGCCCTTGCTCTAAACATTATGTGGAACGTACTACCAGAAGGTTAAGAGACCGCGTGCGAGAGCATGTTTACAATATCAAGAGAGGTTACAAAGAGCACTCGTTATCCATGCATTACAGACGGTACCACAATAGAGACCCCTTCACTCTTACATTTGTGGGCATTGACGTAATCACCCCACACTCGAGGGGCATGCATAAGACAAGAGCGATCTCCTAATTGGAGACCAAACTCATCTTTGAATTGGGTACTCTCTATCCTGCTGGACATAATGTTGAAGTAGACGTGAACTGTTCATAGATAATAGTTAGCACTCGTTATATGGTCTATGTATTACTTATCTCATTTATAACTTTTTACTCTATATATCTATATACATTTTTTTCATTTTTCATTTTATTTGTTTTATTATTCAGTATGTCATATTAACCTTTTATATGGGTATTATTTTTAGGTACTTCCCATTTTAATATTCGTATTGTATTGTTTATTACCTTATGACATTCGGTTTTATCTTTGATCTTACCTTTTTGTCATGGTTTTTGTTTTTATTTTTCTTAACGTATATATTGCTTGTATTTTATTATCTTATATACGTCTTTTTGGATTTTTTTGATACATTACTATTCTTAATGTGCATACCTATTAACTTTTTATGGGTGCGTTAATATTTTATTATTTCATTAATTTTTTTATATCTATGCCTAATTTTTAGCATATTAATAATATTTATCGTTTACTTTAACATTTCTCATTGATCACCTATTGTAAGATCATGTATCGGATATGTCGCCACCTCTTGGTTGGACCGTTTGATATTTGTATCCACTGTAGTATTTTGCGCATCATGCCTTTGGTATTTTTATATTATCCATTGTTTATTCACTTAAATATTCTGCGTATCATGCCTTTGGTTGCCACCTAGGACTAATCAGGCTACTGTGTTTTAGTCATTTCATTATATTAATGCACCTACAATTAGTCCTCGTTACTTACTTTGTTCTTATATTTATCATCCCTTTCAAAACCCACGGCAAAATGGCGCCGCGCATATAATATATTCCGCTCTTTGACAAAATGGCGCTGGCGTAATGCGCACATGCCGCTTTGTCTATAAATACAATGAACGAAGGTCATGGCAGTATTGGTATCCACCTCTGAAGAAGTGCATCAGGCATCTACACCCATCCACCCCTTAAAGGGACCTCTGTTGACTGGATCTCTTATCTCCTGTGAGCTCCGACAGCACCACCTTTGCCTCAGAGGGAGGATTATCCTTGGCCAGGATCATATCCGACTCCTAAAGGGGACCTCTACTGATTTATTTAATGCGTATTTACATTACGCATCTGGTGAGTGCGTATTTCTACCACACTGTTTTGGAGCATCGACACTGGATCTTGTTGTTATTTCTCACCTAGAGCTGCACAGACTGTCACTTTTGGATTGCTTCGTTTGGCATATTTTTATATGTATGAACTAATATATTTAATACTATTAGTGCTGCACTTATTCATTTATATCAAGGTTCTATGGGGTTGATTTACTAAAAGAAAATACTGTAGAATGTGCACTTTGCAAAGTGTAGTTGCACTCTGCAAGAGCGGTTGCTGCAGGGCTTTGCAGACTTCCATCATCCAATCACGTGCAAGCAAAAAATGTGTTTTTTTTAATTTTCCCTGCATGTGATTGGGTATTCTTTGTAAAGTGAAGCTTTACCTCATCTACTAAGCTCTGGAGCAACTGCACTTGCAAAGTGCACAGTCTATTTGCCTTTAGTAAATCAACCTCTATGTGTTTTGGCATGAGTGAATGCACATGCGTTAGCGAGATGCGTCAAGAATGAATGGCACTGCCGCACGTTTGCAGTTTTGTGAGCTTTGTGGGAAAGCATGCGATTTTATGATCACAATGCACAGGTGTGAACAAAGCCTCAAAAATATATCTAAAGCCATTTTTTTTGTTTTGGATATGGTAGACAATGCTTGAAACCTCTGTTAAGATTTTCTTTTCTGTCTGTGCTGCATTGGTGAGATTACCCTTCACTTACCCAGACACAACAGGAAGTGAGGGCACATTTTTTGCAAATTGCCCCAACATTTCATATTCCTGATATGTGTCTGTTGTGCCATGTACTTGTGTTAAAAATAATCATGTTGTCTTTGTATTGCTTCCTTTGTGTGTTCCTTGGTGTTCCTGCCTCCCAGGCAAGCTGACCACGTGAAATCCTGCGAGAATGTGCTCCGGCACACTGCAGCTTTCACATCAGCTAAGCCTCCCAGGAAGTGCTGAAATCTGGGACCAAGGTAAGATTTTTTAATTTTGGGGTTGTTTTTTTTTTTTTACATTTACATTTGGGGATGGCTCCCCGAAACCATCAGAAGCCAGGGCCAATGCCGTTTTTTTTTTTTTTTTGGGGGATGGGTCCTCTAGGTTAAATTTGCTTTAGGCAAGAATGTCCTTTCTAGAAGTTATATAGGTGACGGGAGTCACTTTGGGTGGGGGGCCCATGGAACCCAGCTCACTTTGGAGAGGTGGGGAGACCCCCGTCTCAGCTCCCCATATCCCTCTTATGTGTAAATCACCCTGTGCCTGTAAGGAGTACAGGGTGATCTGTCCTAATATTGGGTGGGCTTTGTCTCAGACTGTGTAGACATGTCTAGGAGATAGGTGGGGTGGGGGTTGTCGATTGTTTAATGTTATGTGGTTGCATCCCATTGTTCTATTGTTTGTCTGGCTTGGGAGCAAACTATTATGGGATGTATGTGTATTAGCTTAGTGAGGGGGTGTCTCCAGCAGCCCTCCCTCCTGATGGGACTGTCTGCTGGTGTGAAGTTTGAATACCTGTGTGTTTCTTGTTACTAAATGTAGATTGCCCCACCCAGTGTCATTATGCAGGGAGGGGGGACTGTCCCCTGAGTGTATATATCTTGTATCTGTGTTCAAATAAAGTAGTCTACCTTCTGGTTTACTTCAAGACTGGTGTTGTCTGGATCTTGGGGTAGCAATAGCCAGATTCACTGGTCTTGTGTTCCAGAGCCTGAGAAGCAGCTTCTTGACAGAGATACCCAGTCGTGAGCAGGGGCGGACTGACCATTTGGAAACTCGGGCACTGCCCGAGGGCCCGGGGGTCAGTAGGGGGCCCCATGAGATGCCCCTGGTACCTTTTTCATAGGCTTTTTTGAGTTTGGGCAAGGACACAGGGGCCCCATGATCCCCTATTGCCCTGGGGCCCCATGAGTTGTCAGTCCGCCCCTGGTCATGAGTGTCTGGGGTCCGTTACAATATAGGCTTCTGGTTAAAACTGAAATCTTTTGGGGTTTTTTTTTAAGGGAAAATAGTCCATGTTCGTACCAGTGTCACTTGCTATATATAGTATCTGTCTCAGGATCTTTATTCTGTGTGTTACTGCCATTTATATTAAGTAACAAATCTAAAAACGAGGAACTTTAAAGAAAGCTGGAAATAATCTGACCCCCAAGTATGATAGTTTCCCTTTAATATGTATATACTGTAGCTATTCATAGAGTATATATAGACCCTACCCTTTTGCCAGAAGTTAAATGTATAGCTCTACAGGATGCTGCCTTGTCACCTGCTCTGGCAGAATATTTTACAACTACAGAAGCTATGGATTGCAGTTCTGTTCTGAGGATTCCAAATTCCACACATCCTGATTAGTGGTAGATCAAGTATCACGATGCACAGATTACAGAGAAAGCAACATGAGATAAATACCTGGATGGAAGCCCACCACGAGATCAGGCCTCGCTGCTCGTTGGTTCTCCACCAGCGTCTCCCAGAAGACATGATATAGGGCTTTGTAACCGCTCAGGTAGACTTTTCCACGTGGGCCATAAGCTGTCAGTGGAAGTCTCATCACTGGGCCATTGACCACTTCTGGGCCGACCATAACCACCTCTAGACCCTGGTTCCCTGGAAACATCTTGGCAAGCTCATCGTAGTCTGTTTCCCGGATATTCAAAGTCTCAATATGAGAGGCGCCAACCACATGTACAGTGATTGGACCGGTGAAGGGATCGATGCGGAAGGCATTCATAGCAAAACCGATAGTCAATGGCCTTGTGAAAAAGTCAGTGGTCAGGCGTTTTATGGACTCTCGCAGTTCGGCGTTCTCAGGTTTTGGCTTTCCACAATTGGACCAGAGGATGCCTATGTAACGTCCTGCCATGATGTTGGCTATCTTCTCCTCAAGGTTCTCCTGTATGGAGAACCAGTCATCCCAGGTCTTCACATCAGAAATGGACGTGGTCCAAGGGGAGGTGGTGAAAGGAATATCGCCTACAAAAACATACAGTATGATTCAAGGATTGTTAAAGAGCAAACAGAGTTTTAACTGCCTCCCCTTTGGTTTGTCCCCACTGTATTGTACCCCCTGGATGGAGATCTCCCCAACCTTGACCACTGCAGCAAAAAGCAGACCTTTGTTTTTAGGGTGATCTACTTGTGTCAGTGGCACAAGCAAATTCTCAAATAATATTTCAAATATTTCTGTGTGCTGTTCAATATTTCTGCAGGAGAATATTTTGGAGAATTAACTTGGGTTGGTGACCATGACAACATCACAGAAAAGAAAAGGCAAACTGATTTATTTTTATCACCGTTGTAAATCTTCCAAATAATTTTTTTTCACTTAAAAAAGAGGGGGTATGCAGCTTCTATTAAAAAGATGTTTCTTGAAGGCCAGCTCCAGCAAAAATGATATTTTAGTCTGGAGTGAGTATTGTGTTAAGTCACGTGGTGGCTTCCTTATTTTCTTGTACCCATGAGGTTTCCTGTAGCCAGTGCTAAAACAAGGTCATCTAGTGCCCAGGGGTGAAGAAGTCAATCTATGCCAACCCCCTTTTCCTGATGTGGGTGCCACCGATCATCTTCTGCAGCTGGGACCTATGATAAGAACATACCCCAATTCACAACACCACTTCAGATCCTCACCTCCTGTCATTCATGGGCGATCCGAGTGCAAGTTCCTGTAGCCCATCTCCGTTCAACAATTAAAGATGTAAGAAGATAAGAGTCGCACTCAAGTATTGGCTCATCCTGATTAGTGGTGTATTTAGGTTTCATGCTGCCCTAGGCAACACAAAAATTGGCTTCCCCTCACGGAGAGACCTTGACACCGACCAACACCTCCTTCCCCCACGAAGAGAGCCTGACTTTGACCAACAACACCCCAGCCCCCCCCCCCCCACCCGAGAGAGCCTTCCACTACCACCGCCGCCCATACACTGGCAACCCTGGGAAGAGATAAGACACTCCCATTCACAGCTCTGGACATCCCCGGGAACAAGAGTCTTGCTCTGCATACACTATCAAGCAACCTGTAACCTCTCTCAGATCCCACCTGGTCCCCGTGCTGCGTGTGTCCCTTCTTCCATACCTTCTTTCAGGGGGCAGCGCTGCCCACCTGAAAAATGCTGCTGCCCCCTTAAAAAATGCCGCCCTAGGCAAATGCCTTGTTTACCTTGTGGTAAATACACCCCCTGATCCTGATATTTTATTCTGTTGTCATCAAAACAACTGCATACATGATATCTTCACCAAAAAAAAACCCGAAACATTCTCAAGGAACGTTACCAATGTGGGCTTGCTTACAAGGATAGGGTAGGTCTACTTACCTGAAGGAAGTGTGTTTTTTCTGGGTGAAGACATGTATGTTGTTGTTTTGTTGACAACAGAATAAGATACAAGGACTAGTTAATACTAGAGCGTGACTCTTATCTTCCTCCTGCATGGAGAACCAGTCACCCCAGGTGTTCACATTGGAAATGGACATTGTCCAAGGGGAGGTGGTGAAAGAAATATCTCCTACAAGAAACATATAGTATGCTCCAGGAATTGTTAAAGAGCAAACAGAGTTTGAACCACCTCGCCCATGGTTTGGCACTATTGTATTGCACCCCCTGGATGGAGTTCTACCCAACCTTGACCACCTCAGCAAAAGGCAGACCGTTGCTTTTAAGATGATCTACTTATGTCATTAGCACTGCATCATGCATACACTTCACCACTGTGGGTTGCTCACAAGGATAGGGTAGGTCTACCTACCTTAAGGACGTGTGGTTTTCCTGGGTGAAGCCATCATGTATATACTTCACCACTGTGGGCTGCTTACAAGGATAGGGTAGGTCTACCTACTTGAAGGAAGTGTGGTTTTTCTGGATGAAGACATCATGTATGCACCTCACTACTGTGGGCTGCTTACAAGGATAGGGTACGTCTACCTACATGAAAGAAGTGTGGTTTTTCTGGGTAAAGAGATCATGTATGCACTTCACCACTGTGGGCTGCTCACAAGGATAGGATAGGTCTACCTATCTGAAGGAAGTGTGGTTTTTCTGGGTGAAGACATCATGTATGTACTTCACTACTGTGGGCTGCTTACAAGGATAGGGTAGGTCTACCTACCTGAAGGATGTGTGTTTTTTCTGGGTGAAGACATCATGCATGTACTTCACCACTGTGGGCTGCTTACAAGAATAGGGTAGGTCTACCTACCTGAAGGACGTGTGGTTTGCCTGGGTGAAGACATCATGTATGTACTTCACCACTGTGGGCTGCTTACAAGGATAGGGTAGGTCTACCTACCTGAAGGAAGTGTGTTTTTTCTGAATGAAGACATCATGTATGTACTTCACTACTGTGGGCTGCTTACAAGGATAGGGTAGGTCTACCTACCTGAAGGAAGTGTGTTTTTTCTGAATGAAGACATCATGTATGTACTTCACTACTGTAGGCTGCTTACAAGGATAGGGTAGGTCTACCTACCTGAAGGAAGTGTGGTTTTTCTGAATGAAGACATCATGTATGTACTTCACTACTGTGGGCTGCTTAAAAGGATAGGGTAGGTCTACCTACCTGAAGAATGTGTGGTGTTTGTGGGTGAAGACATCATGTATGTACTTCACCACTGTGGGCTGCTTACAAGGATAGGGTAGGTCTACCTGTGCTTGTTCTGGGTGAAGACCTAAGTTCTCCACTGGTGCAGACAATGGACCTCACCAGAGACATCACTGGATGGAAGATGAAAGAATGGAAGGGGCGAGCATGGGCTCTCAAGTCAGCTGAATACGGGCTGCTGCCTCACGGCACCCCCAACACATGAAAACACTAAAACTGCGGCATCCCCCCTCCCAGTCACAGCCCTGCATGTATCAGTTTGCACAATAGGCTATAATGAAGATGTCACCCTCACTTAGCTGTATTCCCCAACGATATGTTAAGATACATTAGGAAATCCATTAAAAGATGGCCTTTCATCATTTGTTTTGCAATAGCTGAGGAAGATGATGAGAACAGGGAATGTTGTGGGTGTATAGCTGGCCATACACGTGTAAATTTTCAGACAAGAATATTCGTATGAAAAGTTATAAGAAAATTCTTTGAACATTCGGTGAATGGACTAATGTCCAAAAATTGTCTTTTGCTTTTAACATTCGAGTTTAAAATGAATTTCATTTCTGAACGATAACCACATACACTGGCCAAAAATTAGTTTGATCGATGAAAGTTTTCCTTCCTTCCCCTTCAAATGTTCCCATCACTGCAGTCGAAAACTAACATCGATTTGACCCCCACTAACGATTAGAAAATCAAGCGAATATTCTTGAAAGCAAAATTCTTGAATGAAAATCTATATGTGTATGGCCAGCTTAACTAACTGCTGGATTAACTGGGAGATCTAAGATGCCAGCAACCCATTTCTCTTGCCAGCAAAAGCTGACACATCACTTTTGGGTGGATATCTTTTTGGGTGGTATGTCAGAGACACAACTACAGATATACCTCGGTTTATGAACGCCCCGGTTAACAAAATTTTCAGTTTATGAATAAAAAATCCATTGAAAAGAATGCCTCGGTTTACAAATTGTTCCCGCAATACGAAAGGATTAATTGGTTTTCAATGCATTTACAAATTTTTCTTTAATCATGTCCCTGTACAGTAATTATGCCTTTAAAGTGCACTTTATAAAGAGTTTTGAACAGATAAAGACTTTTTTTTACTTTTTTCTGACCTCCGAAACAGAATAATTGGTTTTCAATGCATTTACATATTTTTCTTTAATCATTTCCCTGTACAGTATTTATGTCTTTAAAGTCCACTTTATAAAGCGTTTTGAACAGATAAAACATTTTTTGACCTTCTTCTGACCTCCGGAACGGATTAATTGGTTTTCAATGCATTTATGATTTTTTTTTTATCATGTCCCTGTACAGTATTTATGCCTTTAAAGTGCACTTTATAAAGAGTTTTGACCAAAAACAAAGAATTTTTTAAACTTTTTGCTGAACTCCGGAACAAATTAATTGGTTTTCAATGCACTCCAATGGGAAACAGCATTTCGGTTTACGAATTTCTCGCTATACGAAAAGTCCCGCAGAACGCATTAAATTCGTAAACCGAGGTACTCCTGTACTAATTTAACTCTCTTGTATGTGCTTTATATAGCCTAATACATCATCGCATATTCAGCAAAAGGTACAAGATACGCACGGCAAGTGCCAAAGTTCACTGCCCTAGGGTCCATGTGTGATACCCCTCCCCCCCCCCATCAACTGGAGGAGTTTGTCAGTTGAGTCATTTATATTACGAATGTGGTGGGTTGTACATCTTTCAACAGCTGTAGTCCCATAACAAGCAAGGAACTTGTAAAAGGTTCTGGCTCAGTCAGATGCAATCATGGTGACCAACCTTTATTCCTTAACTGCAGCAACGGAAAGGTTACCGAATTGCTTTGCTGTCTGGCTAAGCTGCGTAAATCTAAGGACTGGCCAGATAGAATTACAAATCCTTTGGCAGATAAAATAACTCCCATTTATGTATTTCAGTGGAGTGTTTAGCAGTTTGCCTGCAGTTCTTCTTTAACCACTTAAGGACCGCCCTATAACAGATATACTGCTACAGGGCGGCACCTCTGCACATAATCACATATATATACGTGATTTTGCACTTCCAGGGTAGGGGGCACGTGTGCCCTACACGGGTCGCCATTCACCGGGTTCCGGACCGTAATTACCTGCTGGAGCCCGGTGATTACCGAGCATCTCCGACGGGGAGGAAGATTGTTTTGTTTACAAACAATCTTCCTCCCTGTCAACTCAAGCACACTGCTCGGGATGGCTGTGCACAGTGCAGCCATCCCGATCAGTGTGCTTACAGTGAAGCACACACCCCCCACCCCCATAGTAAAACACACACAGTTAACCCTTTGATCGCCCCTCACATTAACCCCTTCCTGTCCAGTGCCACTAGTACAGTGTCAATGCTTTTTTTTTTTGCACTGATCACTGTATTGGTGTCACTGAAGATGTCAGTGACACCAAGTTCGCCCCCCCCTGTGTCGGAATGTCCGCCGCAGTCCCACTAAAAGTCGCTGATCGCTGCCATTACTAGTAGAAAAAAAAAAAGTCCTAGTATCTATACCGCCATTTGTAGACGCTACAACTTTCACGTAAACCAATTAATTTACACGTATTAGGATTTTTTTTTAGCAAAGACATGGAGCAGACTGGACATGTTTAATAGCAAATGGTCCAAAATTTAGGTTTTTTTCTCAAAATTGGCGGATTTTTTTTTTGCTTATAGCGCAAAAAATAAAAAACACATTGGCAATCAAATACTACCGAAAGAAAGCTCAATTCGTGGGAAAAAAAGGATGTAAATTTCATTTGGGTGCAGCGCTGCATGATCGCGTAATTGTCAGTTAAAGTAACGCAACGCCGTATAGCAAAAAATGGCCTGGTGAGGAAGGGGGGGGGAATCCTCAAGAGGGTAAGTGGTTAAGTCATCTGTATTTGAACATCGCCATGTAGTCATAACCATTTCTGCTGCAGCCCTTCTTCCATTTCTGTTCTCCTTTACTGACCTGGCACTTCATTTCCCAACTTCCCCGATCAGGAGAAAACTCACACATACCTGTGAAGATCAGCCACTCCACCAGTCTGTCAATGGCAGCCAGTTTCAGTTTCCTGCAGAACTTCTTGTGCATAGGCCAGTTCTCCCTGTGACACTCCGAGCTGCAATAGTATACGTTCTGACACCTGCGAGGACGCACACAGGTATAGCTACTGATATTTACAAATCACTTCAACTGACATTTCAACTGACATTCTGCTTCTGATGTATATAATGTGAACCTGTGATAACAAAATGATGGGAACGTCCATTGCGTTGCGGAGCATTGAGTTTAGATTTCAGTGGCTCATGTGCACTGCTCTCTGCTCTCTACAATGCGCTCTGCTCTCTGCTCTCTACAATGCGCTCTGCTCTCTACAATACGCTCTGCTCTCTGCTCTCTACAATGCGCTCTGCTCTCTACAATGCGCTCTGCTCTCTGCTCTCTACAATGCACTCTGCTCTCTACAATGCGCTCTGCTCTCTGCTCTCTACAATGCGCTCTGCTCTCTGCTCTCTACAATGCGCTCTGCTCTCTGCTCTCTACAATGTGCTTTGCTCTTTGCTCTCTACAATGCGCTCTGCTCTCTACAATGCACTCTGCTCTCTACAATGCACTCTGCTCTCTGCTCTCTACAATGCGCTCTGCTCTCTACAATGCGCTCTGCTCTCTACAATGCGCTCTGCTCTCTGCTCTCTACAATGCGCTCTGCTCTCTACAATGCGCTCTGCTCTCTACAATGCGCTCTGCTCTCTACAATGCACTCTGCTCTCTACAATGCGCTCTGCTCTCTACAATGCGCTCTGCTCTCTGCTCTCTACAATGCGCTCTGCTCTCTACAATGCGCTTTGCTCTCTGCTCTCTACAATGCGCTCTGCTCTCTGCTCTCTACAATGCCCTCTGCTCTCTACAATGCCCTCTGCTCTCTACAATGCCCTCTGCTCTGCTCTGTACAATGTGCTCTGCTCTCTATAATGTGCTCTGCTCTCTAAAATGTGCTCTGCTCTCTACAATGCGCTCTGCTCTCTACAATGCGCTCTGCTTTCTGCTCTCTACAATACGCTCTGCTCTCTACAATGCGCTCTGCTCTCTACAATGCGCTCTGCTCTCTATAATGCACTCTGCTCTCTATAATGCTCTCTGCACTCTGCTCTCTACAATGCGCTCTGCTCTCTACAATGCACTCTGCTCTCTATAATGCTCTCTGCTCTCTACAATGCTCTCTGCTCTCTACAATGCGCTCTGCTCTCTACAATGTGCTCTGCTCTCTACAATGCTCTCTGCTCTCTACAATGCGCTCTGCTCTCTACAATGCCCTCTGCTCTCTACAATGCCCTCTGCTCTGCTCTGTACAATGTGCTCTGCTCTCTATAATGTGCTCTGCTCTCTAAAATGTGCTCTGCTCTCTGCTCTCTACAATGTGCTCTGCTCTCTACAATGCGCTCTGCTTTCTGCTCTCTGCAATACGCTCTGCTCTCTACAATGCGCTCTGCTCTCTATAATGCGCTCTGTTCTCTACAATGCGCTCTGCTCTCTGCTCTCTGCTCTCTACAATGCGCTCTGCTCTCTACAATGCACTCTGCTCTCAACAATGCGCTCTGCTTTCTGCTCTCTACAATGCGCTCTGCTCTCTCCTCTCTACAATGCGCTCTGCTCTCTACAATGCGCTCTGCTCTCTACAATGCGCTCTGCTCTCTACAATGCGCTCTGATCTCTGCACTCTACAAATCCCATAGTCATCTCAGGAGCCAGCAAGACAGGGTGGCTACATTCCTACATATATTGAGACCACAGAGAAGGAACATAGCCACCAGGGCTGCTGTTAGAAACTACGGGGCCCCGTACAGCCAACCTAACCAGGCCCCCCCCCCCCCCAAAAAAAAAAACAGTTTACTATGCTTCAGTTATGAATGACCACAGTGAGTTATTGGTACCGATCACTTATTGTGTTCATCCAGGAAAGAAAGGGGCTGGTAAATGTGCCCTATTTACCAGACCCTTACAATACTCTCTATCCTATAGGATGCTATTGTGTGCTTGCAGGTGCCGATGAAAAGGAGAGGAGGGAAGCTGGCAGCACTGTGGGGCACACAGGCGATCACTCTCCCTGCCTACATCTGATTCGCCCAGCTGCCTGGGCCCCGTACAAGAGGACTGGTGGTACCCCCGTTATCCATAAGGGGGATATGATCACCATGTATAATACATAAGGGGGATATGATCACCATGTATAATACATAAGGGGGGGGATATGATCTCCATGTATAATACATAAGGGGGGATATGATCTCCATGTATAATACATAAGGGGGGATATGATCTCCATGTATAATACATAAGGAGGGATATGATCTCCATGTATAAATACATAAGGGGGGGATATGATCACCATGTAAAATACATAAGGGGGGATGTGATCTCCATGTATAATACATAAGGGGGATATGATCACCATGTATAACACAAAAGGGGGATATGATCACCATGTATAATACATAAGGGGGATATGATCTCCATGTATAATACATAAGGGGGGATATGATCTCCATGTATAATACATAAGGGGGGATATGATCTCCATGTATAATACATAGGGGGGATATGATCTCCATGTATAATACATAAGGGGGGATATGATCTCCATGTATAATACATAAGGGGGATATGATCTCCATGTCTAATACATAAGGGGGGGATATGATCACCATGTATAATACATAAGGGGGAGATATGATCTCCATGTATAAAACATAGGGGGATATGATCTTTATGTATAATTCATAAGGGGGATATGATCTCCATGTATAATACATAAGGGGGGATATGATCTCCATCTATAATACATAAGGGAGGATATGATCTCCATCTATAATACATAAGGGGGATAGGATCTCCATGTATAATACATAAGGGGGATATGATCTCCATGCATAATACATAAGGGGGGATAGGACCTCCATGTATAATACATAAGGGGGGATATGATCTCCATGTATAATACATAAGGAGGGATAGGATCTCCATGTATAATACATAAGGGGGGATAGGATCTCCATGTATAATACATAAGGGGGGATAGGATCTCCATGTATAAATACATAAGGGGGGATAGGATCTCCATGTATAATACATAAGGGGGGATATGATCTCCATGTATAATACATAAGGGGGGATATTATCTCCATGTATAATACATTAAGAGGGATATGATCTCCATGTATAATACATAAGGGGGGATATGATCTCCATGTATAATAACATTAAGGGGGATATGATCTCCATGTATAATACATAAGGGGGATATGATCTCCATGTATAATACATAAGGGGGGATATGATCTCCATGTATAATACATAAGGGGGGGATATGATCTCCATGTATAATACATAAGGGGGGATAGGATCTCCATGTATACATACATAAGGGGGGATAGGACCTCCATGTATAATACATAAGGGGGGATAGGATCTCCATGTATAATACATAAGGGGGAATATGATCTCCATGTATAATACATAAGGGGGGATAGGATCTCCATGTATAATACATAAGGGGGGATATGATCTCCATGTATAATACATAAGGGGGATATGATCTCCATGTATAATACATTAAGGGGGATATGATCTCCATGTATAATACATAAGGGGGGATATGATCTCCATGTATAATACATAAGGGGGGATAGGATCTCCATGTATAATACATAAGGGGGGATATGATCTCCATGTATAATACATAAGGGGGGATATGATCTCCATGTATAATACATAAGGGGGGATATGATCTCCATGTATAAATACATAAGGGGGGATATGATCTCCATGTATAATACATAAGGGGGGGATATGATCTCCATTTATAATACCATAAGGGGGATATGATCTCCATGTATAATACATAAGGGGGATATGATCTCCATGTATAATACTTAAGGGGGGGATATGATCTCCATGTATAATACATAAGGGGGGATATGATCACCATGTATAATACATAAGGGGGGATATGATCTCCATATATAATACATAAGGGGGGATTTGATCTACATGTATAATACATAAGGGGGGATATGATCTCCATGTATAATACATAAGGGGGGGATTTTGATCTACATGTATAATACATAAGGGGGATATGATCACCATTAGAGATGAGCGAAGTATTCAAAAATTCGATTTGGCTGATTCGGCGAATTCGAGGAATAAATTTGATTCGATGCGAATATATTCGCTGCGAATTTAACTTATAAAAAGGGTTTCTAGGCTTCAGAGAGCCTTTATATTAGTGCAGAACACTGTACCTTTAATTGAAATGCCCTTGGAGTCTGCTGGGGAAGAGAAATAATACTGTCAGTCAGTTGACATGCAGATGAGTGCCGTCGATCTTAGAATCACCGCACACTTCACTCATTTGGGCAGTCACGGGGCCAAAACCAGAGTGTGGAGCCACAGTGTGGCGGTGGAGGCAGCAGCAATGGGAGGCCATACAGCACCCTATGACAAAAATGGAACCCACCAGCAGTGTGAGGAGACCTGAAAGTGGCACATGGCAGAGTGTGGCGATGGAGACAGCAGCAATGGGAGGCCGTACAGGGACCCATGAGAGACTCTGGACCTGGCAGCAGCATGAGGAGGCGGTACAGGGGCCCATGGCAGATTACAGGCCTGGCAGCAGCAATGGGAGGCCCGTAATCTGCCAGCACCCTGTGACAAAATGGAACACACCAGCAGTGTGAGGAGACCTGAAAGTGGCACATGGCAGAGTGTGGCGATGGAGACAGCAGCAATGGGAGGCCGTACAGGGACCCATGAGAGACTCTGGACCTGGCAGCAGCATGAGGAGGCGGTACGGGGGCCCATGGCAGATTACGGGCCTGGCAGCAGCAATGGGAGGCCCGTAATCTGCCAGCACCCTATGACAAAATGGAACACACCAGCAGTGTGAGGAGACCTGAAAGTGGCACATGGCAGAGTGTGGCGATGGAGACAGACAGCAGCAATGGGAGACCTGGCAGCAGCATGAGGAGGCGGTACGGGGGCCCATGGCAGATTACGGGCCTGGCAGCAGCAATGGGAGGCCCGTAATCTGCCAGCACCCTATGACAAAATGGAACACACCAGCAGTGTGAGGAGACCTGAAAG